AAGAAGAGGTTTGTAACTGATTTTATGTATTTTAAAACTTGTCGTTTTAACCTTCAATTATATGCATCATTCTGGTGTTGTCTTGAAAATAAATAAAATGGTGCTATTTGTGGGTGGAGGGAAATGGCCCATAACATGATGGGTAATAGCTTGAGAACAAAAATAGAAAAAGCCAGATTGGGCTCTTTTTTAAGTGAAATTAGAAAATATGTTCTAATTAGGAAACAGGCAGTTAAGCAGTATGTGAGCTGGAAGTTGGTGCTTGGCTTGTATGTGTGTCATGCACAGGGATCCTGGTTTTCTCTGATCAAAAATCACAAATTCTCTGATTAAACTCCACCCCCCCCAACCCCCTGCTGCCAAAATCCATGTTTTTCCATGATTAAAATGAAATCTCTCTCTCTGTATGTAATAGTTGAACACAATGTTTTATTGATATATTTATAATTTTAAAGCAGTGTGGAAACCTGCCAGTTACTCAAACACTATAATAAAATACATTCTAAATACATATAAATTTTGGTGTTTGATTTTGGGTTTTTTATCATGGAAAATCAGAGCTCCCACTGCCCTCTTCACTCACCAGGACTCGGGTCCAGCTACAGCACCGGCTTTGTGGTGCCGAGCAGCCCTAATATGCTGATGCACTGGCCATGCCATTTCCCCTTACTCCTGACCCACAACCTCCTCACTTCTGTTGGTGCCTCTCACTCCCCACCCCACTCCCATACCCCTGCTGATGCCCCTTACTCCCCACCCATAGCCGCCTAGGACCTGCTGGTGCCCCTCACTCCCTACCCACAGCTCACCCCCCCACTGGTGCCCCTTACTTCCCACAAATAGCCCGCTGGGCCCTGCCGGTGCCCTTCACTCCCCACCCGCATCCTGCTCCCTGCTGGGGCCCTGCGATCATGCATTCCAGCTCCAGGCCTCAAGCCTGGAGCCCCATGCACTGCCTTCGCTGGGCAGCGCCCCCAGCCCTGCCAACTCCATCCCTCACTACACTATGGGGGGCTCAATTCCCCCTCCCTGACCACCAGACTTACCTGCTGGGAGCTACTGTCTAGGCTGCCTGGTGGCCACGTGCATGCCCATAGCACCCCTGCCTGGTCGCCCTCCTCCCGCTCCCCCCTGCCCCTTGCAGACTGAAACTTTGTCAGCCTGCAAGGGAAAACCCACCATTTCCTGTTTTTCTCCTCTAAATGAGAAAAATCTGGGTTTTACTGAGTTTTTTCTGCGGCAAATGGAAAATCTGGATCCTTGGCCATTTATAAACTGTTTTTGAGTAATAAGCGGTATTGCGAGCCGTAATTCTTTGATTCACAGTATGGCTCCTATGAGTAAAATTCACCCATTTGTAAAGAGCCATCTTATGACCTGTTCATCATGCTTGAATGCCATTTAACCCACAAAATAGGGTCCAAGTAAAGTATAAGCAGTCCTTGCACTATGTCCTGTACAGCACTGAATTTAGCAGCATGAGGATAGAAGTTTTCCCTCTGGAAAATCATTAACATGCTGTTTAATGGGCATCTACCCTTGGTTATTGTATGTACTGAGAGATGCTTTTTTGTTGCTACTGCTCAGGTTGCAGAACTGTTACTGTTTTGTGCATTCATTCAGTGTGGAAATGTAGGTCTTTCTGTTTGTTTTAATTTTATGAAGTATTTACATTTATTCAGTAGACAGTAAAACATAAAATCATTACTATGCTGGCTGCAAAAAGGGAGAGACCTGGCAGCTTGTCAGGTACATAAAGAGTAGAGAATAGGGATACAACCTGCTACCAACTAATAAATAGATTCTGGACAAGTACAAATGTCATATCGTTACTGGAACTAAGCTTGGTCTCTTCAATTGATCTCATTTTATGGTGAAACACTGCTGAAATACAGAAAGGAAATGATTGACAAGTCTTTGTGTATTCAGTGAAATATGAAATGAATGAAATATGGACTGATTTACAGATGCGCCAATAATTTTTACTGAATACAGTGGAAATTGCAAGCTCAACACCTCTGATTATCAGGCCATTTGTGCATATGTACTAGCATAGCTTTTTAACAGCATTAAGGTTAGTCCAAAAAATACATTAGTTTAAGGCATGCGATCTTGCAAAGAAATCACAAGTTTATCCCAGTAATACCCTATTTCTGAACTGTGTACATGCTTCTTCAGTGTTAGGATGAATGGGAGACTTCCATTATTTTGTTGCTCTTCTGCTTGCATTTGCTACTCTCCCTGCCTTTCAGTAGAGTAGAACACAGAGCTTTATGCCACTTAACAGATTTGGAAGACAGTGAGTAAATACATTCCAAATTAGTTTGAAGTGAACTTACTTACTTAGCAATATTTATATTTTAAAAATGTAATTTGGATTGTTTCCAGACATATTTGGCTTTTCAGACTTTTGATAAAGTCACAAAAGTTGCCTATCAGCCAGGTATCCAAAATTACAGAACTATTAAAGATGTTCTCACTCCTTTCAGCATTGTTCAAATATGCGATACAAAGGTGCACAGCTTGCTGTTTAGTTGAAAATTGCATATAAGATGTGTTAAAATGACTGCAAGTATATGCAGGGGTTTTTTTAGGCATCAGGAAGAAAAAATGGAGCAAAAATTAACAAGGATCCACATCTTTGTGTGTCAGTCAAAATGTTTATCACATTTTTACTGTGGGAAGAGGGACAGCAATAATATACCATGTAAAGTTTCTATGGAAATGGAGAAAAGCTTTTTTGTAAATAGCTTCAAAATTGTATATTCTGAGACTAGTCAGGAAGTTCCTAGAGTTAAACCCCATTACTACTGAATTTAGCTGGAGTTGTCACTAACTTCAATAGGACTAGGATTTTCCCCCCATTGTTTTCATCTGGGGTTGTGTGACTAAAATCAGTGTTCAGCGTTTAAAAGAAATACTCTGAAAAGCATCCAGTAAAATTATACACACAGGCAAAAGTGTGTTCCTTTTACACTTACAATGTTGGTGCTCTTAAAAAAAATGCATACCATATATATTTGTTTAATGTGATCATCCACTATAATTCTTTTCACTTCTTTATACAGCTAATAAATAATCATATATATAAACAGCATGCCCTTTCTCTGCCCAGATATCATCATACTGAGAAAGTAATTGACTCTTCTAAACTTGTACTTTCTTAAGAAACTAATTACTTGTAACTTGTATCCACTGAATGACTTTAATGAAAAGTGTTAAATTACTGGATGCCAAACTCTGAAGAGAGTTGATATACAGACAAGAAAACTAATCTTACCACCAGCAGCACAGTGAATGTCCATAATTACTGCCTACTAGGCAGGCAAGCTAATTTAACACAGCTGGAAATGATATTTAGTTTAAGTGCAAACCAAACTTCCTGACGTCAGAACAGTTAACACAGCCCCAACTGTCACTATCATTTACATGTACTTCATTTGAGCTGTAAAAAGAAAAACATATCCTAGGTTTAAAATAATAATCTGTATGCATCGGCAAGACACAGCAGTCCTGAAAATGGGGCAGAGCAGGAGTGAGGAGCAAGATGCACACAAAAGAAAGAAATGGTGTGTTAAAATGTCAAGAGCTGATTACCAGTGCACAAGCATATGCAGATTTTCCTGTGGCCCAAGACCCCAAACATTTTATTGTGTAGTAGTGCTCTTAGTACTAGACCCATATGTGCATTTTTAAGAGACTCTTGTAAATATATTGTTTGTTTTATGATGTCATAATTGTCATATTTCTGTATTCACTTCCTTGCTCAAGCTTGCTTTTTAGATGGGAATCCACACAGGGAAAACAGAGGCATTACAGCCTTTGACCACTGTAGTGACACTCTCTAAGCTCCCAAGAGCTGTCTCTTTCTCCACAGAGCATCAGAAGTCTAACCACAGCCTTTCTTTAACCTGGGGCTTCAGGAACAAAACTATTATTGTATTTAAAGCACAATTTAAGTTTCATTAGTAAAAACTGTAGGCCAAAATTTTCAAAAATGATTAGTGATTTTGGAGTGTTTAAATTCAGTTTAATGTAGTTCAAACACTGGGAAAATGCCCTATTTTCATAGGATGGTTTTTTACCAGTTTTGACAAATAGGTCCCTTATTTTAGGTTACTTTAGGAGAGACACTCAAAAGCACTTCTAAAAATGTTGGCCTTTTTATTTTATAAACAGGCAACTGTGGGGAAAACTGCTTCTCTATACTTGATATGGTTTAATGGATCTTTAAATTTCAAATTTCAAGGGTGATAAGAGAGGTTGCTTTCATTTTTCTCAATGATAAAGTACCCACTGTCCAAAAGAAGGCATGTGTGGATTGGTGGCTTTGTCACAGTAAAAAGCCACTCTCAGACACTACAAAAAACCTATTCCAAGAGCTGTTTAGTGTAGTGCTGATTCATAAAAAAAAAAAACACTTTGGCCTGACAGCATGCTTTGTCACATTTAGAAGATCTTAATAACAGCTATGCCAATTTTAACTTCTTTCTGAACACTAATTTTATTTTATGTATTTATTTGATTTATGTGCTGCATTCCATTTAATTGCTCATTAAATTACTGATTGTCATGTTCCATTGGGAATTGAAAAAGGTTAGTTGATTAAGAAAACAAAGTATTCACAGAGTTCAGAGACACTGAGAGTTTAATCTTTTCCCTTCTTTCCTTTCAAAGGTTACTGGACATTAGGGAAAAGGAGATCTTGATTCATCGGGAAAACAAAATAGCAGGAATCCAATCATTTGCATTTTCTTAGCCGTGTGCCCTGCATAAATCTCTATATCTAATAACAGAACTGTCCATCAAATCCTAGAACTTGTATATGGTTTCTAAATATTTGGTCTTCAATTAATTGGCTGCTAATCACTTGAAATCTGAGAACGTGTGTTCATTAAAAGCTACAGTTCAGTTATTACACTTAATCTCACAAAATGGGTAATGTTAGCCATGCAAGAAATGTATAATCTCTTTATATTACCCATTTTTCCTTCCTTTAGGGAGATACACTTCTGAGAGTGATGTGTGGAGCTTTGGGATCCTTCTGTGGGAGACCTTCAGTCTAGGAGTGTGTCCATACCCTGGAATGACTAATCAGCAAGCACGAGAACAAGTGGAGAAAGGTAATTGTTGTGGCTGTTATTTATAGGATGCCATCTTATGCTGGGTACTTTATAGATCTGTAGGAAGACCATGTCTCTAATCCAAATAGACAACATCTGAATGGGGAATGGGAAGTAGTGACAGACTGATTAAGTAACGTTAGCAAATGTCATGTTAGTTCCAAAATAGTGTTGTCTGATTTTGTTTTCATTATTGGATGTTTAGCCATGTAATTTATTAGGAACCTCCGGTGAGACCTGGGGCTTATGGGCTTCTTGGAAAAAAGTGAATTGAGTAGTATTAGGAAGAGAAGGTAAAGGACTGGTTGATTTAGTCAGGGAGGGGCTCCAAGTATCAGAGCATCAGGGAAATGATGAGAATGAAAGGAATACATAAAGGGGTTAGTTGAACACACTCTTATCAAAAAAGCTGGTGTCAGTTTCAAAATGTTGAGACTCCTGTTGTCCGCATCTTCTTTTAGTAAAACTTTTGCATTTGGCCAAAATTCTATTTAAAAAATGGTCCAGAGACGCTCCAGTCAAATTGGCCCAAATAGCGAGTCTTTAGTTTTTTATTTTATAAAGTGATTAAAAGCCTCTTATTACAAACATAAACACTTTTGTCTAGAATATTTGGTCCCTGAGTTCCTCTTTCCCGGTGACATTGTTAAACATTTTCCTCCATCACTTTGCACTTTACCATGTGACCTATATTGACATAATTGGGTGTTATTTTCATAAACAGAGACTGTATATGGTTCCAAGTTTTTAAAACTATCATTTGACCTAGAATGTGAGTTGATTGCTGACTGAAGAACTGATTGAGTGAAAAAGATCCAGAGCCACATGAGATGCTGTGTTATGACAGGCAAAGGCTAGAGGTACAGCAAAACCAAAAATATCACTGCTGCATATCAGTCACAAAACTGCTTAAGCAGAGGAGAACTTATAAAAAAAAAAAAGCCCTGCTTCCTGTCAGGTATAACTGCTAAGTCTTGAGATTCATCCGTGTTTACATCCAGAAATATGGAAGTGACTGACAACAGGCCCAGCAGAAAAGATATAGATGTTATCTGTGGCAGTAAAATATTCTTGGCTGTTCAACAACCCTGTTCGTGGGCTTTTTTTAAAAAGGGTCACTGCTCTGCACCAGGGGTGTTTCCCTCATCCCACCAGATACAGGGTTTTATTTTGGAAGTAGTGAGGGGGAAGATCTAGGGAGATTTCTTGGTCCCTAGCTGACTATCCCCATTTATAGCTCCACCACTGGGAGCCTGCTTTAGGTTTTTAACTCCCATAAAAGTTTACATTGCATGAACAAAGCTTTTAGAAGCTGGGAAAAGTACACTTGTGACCACAGAAGTATCTATGATTACTCTTAAGGGGAGAGGTGCCATTCTAGACAGGGAACAGCGCTCAGTCTTGAAGGGCTGTCAACTAGGGAAACTGCTTTGGGCTGGATAAGACCTTACTGAAGCTATTTCTTAAGCCCCTTTGATTATGGAGCATAAGACTGGAAGGGTCTCTTGAATCCAGTCCCTTGTGTTCACAGGCAAAATTTACCCAAGGATTCCCCCAACATGACTGCTTTAAACTTCACACCCAATTATAAAGCACAATACCCCCAAAAACCCTGTACATGCTGTAAGTAAGAGCAGAGGAGATGAGGACACTGCCAATCCACTGCCACTGTGGGGACAGAGAAACCATTGATTAATATATGCCTAGAAGATCCCAGGGAGAGAACTGGGCCCTATGCTACAGTGGAAAGTAACTGCTCGGCCTCCCTCGCCCGTTCCATGCAAATCTGACCTAGAAGAACAATTCTGGTGATTTGTGACCCTAGTCAAAAAGCAAGACTGTCTAGCCAGTGAGTTTTTTTTTTTAATACAGGCAAATGAATGACCTCGGTCAACCCCTCACGCTCCCTTTCTTAACTGTTGAGTAACATTCATGACGGAAAAATCATTCCTTCCTGTCCCCCCAGCAAAAGCTCTGAAACATAGGCTTGCCAGACTCAAAAAGAGATTACCATATTTACCTGAATGTGGGATGTGCCCCACCCCACATTATTAGATTCTATATATGAAAAATTTACAGATTTGTTATAATTTTCCAGATATAGAATCTAAGTATTGGAGGGTTGTCTTGAATCTCTCTCCTCCCAACATACACACATGTGCACACGCTGCAACAGCAAGGAAAGTAGTGCCAGGGGGAGGAGTCGGGCAGCCCCCTTGCCCTCTGCCCCACCTATTTCTTCTCCCTGCAGCCTTCTTCCCCCCCCCACCACCTGCACCCCCCCAACCCCAGCTCTCCACAGCCTCTGCCCCTCCTTCTACTCCCTCCAGTCTCTGCTTCTTCCCTCCCACCCCCTCGTGATCATCAGGCACTGCTCGGGCTGCTCCGTCCCAGAGCACAGCCCTTGCCCAGCCAAACAACAGTGTCAGTGCTTCTTATTGGCAAGGCAGAGGAAGGAGTTTCCATGTGCTCCTGCCTGGGAGAGACCAGAGCCCAAGCCAGAGCCGAGCTGGGCCTGACACTAAAGCGGCGGGGTGGGGGGCTGCTGTGCGTCTGACTCTGACCCGGGATCATGGTCGGAGTCAGAGCTGCAGTAGCAGCCGCCACTGCCCCCTCCCCCCTCTGCTTCATATGTGAATATGAGATGGGAGGCTTTTTTACCCATGCTCATGGGGCGGGGGGGGCTGGGGCTTATCTTATATTTGAGTATATATAATATCTTTTGAGTAAGTATTGGAGAGTAGAAGCTATACAACTAGTTTTAATCTACAGTCTGCAACATCTTTACAATAAAATAAAAGGAAAATAAACCTCAAATTCCCCTGACTTGCTGTACCTACATAGCTATGTTCTGTTTTAAAACAAGAAAACAAATAAATTGGTAGCAATGCCTGGATGTACAGGGTTGGACCTGCCATGTAGACACTCGAATTAACCTGCCATGCAGCTCATCCTGCTGCTCATGCTGAAAAACTACACATTAGCGAGGACAAGCATCAGCAGTTAAAGAGCTGTCCTTTCTCCATGAGCTACAGCACATAGCTTATATTGTCCATGCCTTAGACTACAGTCGGTCTTTGACTAATGAGCGAACATAGTGAAAATATAGTGGAAGATGGCAAATAGTAGAAATGGGAAAGGGCCGTGAAAAAAGAACAGAGTAAAGATGTAAGAGAGAGACTACAGTAAAATAAGAGGCAGTTAAAAGGGTATTTCTCTCTCCAAAATAAAAAAGAAAAAATGAGGAATGTCAAGAGGAAATAAAGGAGAAAAATGACAGGAGGAGATGTAAGGGTAGGAAAAAAATTAAAAGTATCAGAAAAGGGCAACAGGGAAATTCATATTTTTTATGGTAAGTTTATTTTAATTTATTAATGACTTCCCAAAATAGAAACTCAAACAAAGAGGAGCTGGCAGGAATTTTCCTAGGAAATGGGGGAAGCAAAGCTTCAGATAAATTATAGCTGTAGGTGGTGTGAGGCCTATAACAGAAATTCAGCCACTGTTGGTATCTGCGGTTTAGTTTGCCAGCCAAGAAACTAAACATAGTAAGAAATGTCTCCATAATGTGTCCAGTTTATTCATAGACAGTATGTAAATTCTGTATGTAGTGACCTTAGGGAACTCGCCTTCCTCATTTTAAATTTATGGATCCCTGTATTTCTTTTTTTTTTATTTGTTCAATTTATACTACTTTTGCAGTACTGGGTTTTTTCCCTTTTATCTTTGTGTGTCAGGATATCGAATGTCAGCACCTCAGAAGTGCCCAGAGGAAATATATAAAATAATGCAGAGATGCTGGGACTACAAACCCGAAAACCGACCAAAATTCAATGAGATTCAAAAAGAGCTGTCTGCAATCAAAAAGAAAGTGACATAGTGATTAAGTAGTGCCAAACTCGACTTACTGGACTTTATTTTCCAGCAAAGTAATATTTTTCCCTCATAAACACTTTGCGTTTCTACCACATTACTTGCAATATTCTTCTGGGTTACTTTTTAAAATTAACTGTGTTTTATATATATGTAATGTGCCATCTTGGAAAATGTCTTAAGCCTACGTTAAAGCCGTAGATGATTTTGCCAAGCACTATGTATCCAGTCACATTAATAGTGTCATGTAGGATTTGTGTAAATAGAAAAGCCCATAATATAGATTTATGGGACTGTGGCTCCTCTATTTTACAGTCATTAACTGCTAGTGACATTTCTCAGACGTTTTCTACTTCACACTATAGTCTCAATCTGCTATCCCTGTCACAGATATCGGCGCCAGTGGCGCTAAAAACTTGGTGGCTGTGCCATGTGTCTGAAAGCCTTAAATCTGAAGGCACAGCTTTTTTGTAGTGTTTCAGTTAGGAACTTTATATTTGTAAAATTCTTTCTGCGACTGGTATTTTCAAATGATATACTGCTTTCAGAGGGAATATCTGAAGATTCTGGATATGCACATATTCTGTTTAAACAATGAAATCCAGAACTGTGTGTAGTATACTGTTCACATCAATTACAAGGGCATCCTTAGATTACTGTTACGATTAGGTTACTGTTGCTTCCAAGTCATGGGAAATATTTTTAACTTTGGATATTATTTACTTAATTTTGTCATGGAAAAAACAGCAGTTTATCAGGAATCAATCTGCACAGATCACCTTTGCAATGGGCCAGCTTTTTTCTACAAGGCTAACAACCAGCCTGCGTAATATGTATCTGTCAGGAAATATGGCAAATCTTCTGCCTTCTGAAATACAGGTAGCAGCAGACATAGTTGTTTTTGAATGTGCATGTACAGAAATGCTGTCAGCAAGGAGCAGGTTTGAGAACAACAGTGGCACATAATGATAGTAACTAGTAGCATTGGGTTTTTTTAAATGAGTAAAGGAAAGTAAACTGCCAGATTAGCTTTCAGAGGTTTTTTGATGTGTTTCTGAAATTTCAAAGAACTGATGTTCCTTTTCTGTATGCAGGCAGTCAGTAAAAGGATGTGTATAAAAAAAAAAAGGAAAGTAAGTACATTCCATGCATACTGTCCAAAGAAAAAGGCCACTGCTCAATATCAGAATTTTTTTTTCCCCAAATGAAACCAAAACAAGGAAATGTCACCTTTTTTCAGCCTCTGGCAGGCTGAACAAAACATAGGTAGAAACAGTCTATAGAACTCTTTCTTTGTTATGTTGGAAGTGGAAGATTTTTATATTCACACTATTAAGGACAAAAAAAATAACATTCCTATAACAGCAAAAGACAAAGAAGTCTGTAGGAATCTTTTTTGAGCCTCTGCAGAAATGGGCCTAAGCCACTGTGCCCTAATCTGACATGCCTAAGATTTTGATGTAGGTCCATCTCTAATAATTAAGCAATTAGCAGAACAAATGAAACCTCATTTGGGGCTGTCGTTAGCCCTATTCCATTTGTACAGTGGGACTAAGATGTAGTCTGTGGCTGCATTATATTTTATTTCTATTATGGTGACTTTTCTATTGGCCAGAGCACAATTTCTGCTCTTCAGCATGAATTTGTGGTAGTACTGAGTGGTAATTTTGAAGGGGCTTTGTGTGGCTGAAATAGTTGTAGTCTAGGAGAGTTTCTGTCCATATCTATTGCATTAAATTTAGCGTCCAAATAAAACAGGGCATCAGCATGCTAGACAACACTCCCTTCATTTTAGGTGGAATTGTTAGCAATCTAATTCAGGTAATGAGGAATGCTTCCTGCCTTTCTAAAATGGGTTTGTTCTGGGGGCAAAGGAAAGCAACGCACAGAGGAAAAAAGAGTAGATCAAAAATAAGGAAATACGAGTGGCACACATTTATTGTTATAATTTTTTTTTTTTAAATGCAGGGCACATTTCTTTAGCACTGCAGCCAAACTTGGCCAAAAGGTATCATCCTAACAACAAGGAATAAACAGTCTTTGGACAGTTAGCATGTTTCTAAATGTTATATGAACAGTGTGCCTTAAGTCATTGGTATGCTTGTGCAAATGCAAGTGCATAAATATTAAGAAAAGTGCAACACCCCCCTTTGAGGAGGAATCCAAGACTCAAATTTGTGATTCACGGAACTGCAGGACCCAATCTATGCACTCACTCATGTCTACAAGTAAGGACAAGAATGTATTCTCTTTTACAGACAGCATTTGTAACATTTCTCCTAAAGGTTAATATTCTTTTTCTATGAAAGAAAATATATTATTTCTTAAAGAACTCTACCTGTACCCAACCTTTAAGCAATAGAATGGCTATCTTGTCTTAATTAAATTAACAAGGCACACAGTTCTGATCCTTGTGCACAAATGTAAAGGATAAAAATTGTATTCATATTTTACTTTTCTAACTGCTAACAATTTGGAATTCATGTTGGACTTCTGCAGAAATTGAATAGCTTTTTTTTCACAACTTGGGACACCCGAAACCTGTATATTCTTTTCCAATGCAGACAGTAATTGGTTCAAAATGAATAACCTTTTGGGAAACTTTCAGGATGAATTCATTGGTATAACTTTTAATGTAGGCACATGTATTTTTCACAAAAGCTTACGTAAATGGTTTTCTTATCAATTCAGTTGTGTTTGTGGCTTAATTTATTTGTCCTGTCTGTCATGTGTAATTATTGGAATGATGTATTATTAGGAAGTGAAATCCATGCCAAATATATGCCTGCAAATTCTGTTTATACTTTGTCCACTTATGGTGGTAGAGACTACAAAAACTTACACCAGAAAAAAGAAAACGTGGCAATTTAATGTATGGAAAAGCAGGTGTAGCACTGAAGAACAAGAACCAAAGCTTCAGTTGTCTGCTTTCTGTGTAGTCTTGATGTTTTTTGGAAAAAAGAGGGTTGGTATCTTGCCTTTTAAATGAATTAACCCAATACTGAATTGTTTTACTTTTGTACATAGTTCTTTCTATATTTTGTTACTGCCAAGTTAGGAGTGTCCCCTTTGGAAATATAGTATAATAAGTTTTCACATCTGCATGGTCCCAACTTAAGGGACTCTAGTGGGGTTACTGGCATTCCCTGGTTAACAATCCAAATATTTCCAGTCTTTCAAAATTAACACTGCAAACCCAAAAAAATCAAATCCTCTAAAAATACTGTGAGGTGGAATGGTTTATCCAGGCGTGACCAATATTTTCCTCCTTTTCAAGCACTTATAAAGGAAAGGTACCAGTATCACATTTCATTCCTAGCCTTTAAAAGTAGATTTTTTTTTTAAAAGCCTGTCAAAGGTCAGCAACGCATGTGAAATTTAAATTGTTTACAATGGCAATTGAGCATTTACAATGAGTCTTAATGCTTAGTTTTGAAATGATCATCCTGGATATTAAGAAGTCCCAAGTGTATGGAGTTGTTTAGCAGGTGCAGTACTGAAAAATGGCATGTTTGAAAACATGATGGAGACCTCTGCCTTCAGCAGATGTGCGCTCTTTCTGTACAAACTGCATTTCACAATATTGATTTTCAGGTTTTTAAATACATAATAAAAAAGCAAAGGCTCCTTTTCAGCAACTGCACTCATTTAGCATTTTTGTTTAAAAACCTGATGTGCATCTTCCAACCATTTCACAAAATCTGCATCTGTGTTGCTTTATATGCTTTAACACCACTTCATAGGCTGCCTCGGGAAGTACAGCAACAGAACATTGCTTGGCAAATGGTGCTGTTTATAAAATAAACCTCACATTTGCTTGGACAGAAAATAGTCATAAAGAAATGCTAGATTACTGTACCTCACTGATTTTTCCTTCATTTTTCAGCCTTCTGACTCTCTCTCTGATAAACTTCTGTGCTTATTCAGATACTTCAAATACATTATGGAAACAAATTACTGTAAAATTACAATTGATGGCATTTTTTTTATTGCAGAGCTATCAAACATATTGGTAAATAGGAGTGTCCTTTCTCAAAATGAGGTGCAGAGAGAAGCCTTGATCACATTTCTAGCAGGATCCAAGGCTCAGAGGTATTCGGTCTGTCTGCTGATTCATGGGAAGCATACTCAGGCCGACACTATATGACATTTTAGCCTTCTTTATTCTGGCCTTTTTTCTGAGATGTTTCCCACTGGTGCAGTTGGCAGTAATAGCAATTGTGGCAGTGTTCACACAGGCTGTCTGCTAACATTCATATACCATATTCCCTGGATGTACTCTGAGCAGGCCTGTCTGACACACTGGTCAAAGCTAGCACTGTCCGTAGGGAATACGTAGCTGGAAAGCGCTTTAGAAGAAAGGCTGGTGTAAATAAAGTGTCAGGTATACCAGCCCTCTGGCTGTTAAGTGCCCACAATCTTCTGGGACATGCTGGGCAACAGTGGTGAGAATGGATGGCTGTCACAGGCAGTAACAGCACACAGGGTAAAGCATCAGGAAAAAAAAGGAAATTATTTTAATAGAAGATTCTTCCTTTTTAGTCAGTCTTATGCATTGGTACTGGAACAGATATGTAAATGGATTTGTCACGTTTTTATTACTCTTTCGGCTATTTTAAAGGCAAGCGGTTCATGCTTAAAGAGGTCGAAGTCATTACAATTTCATAAAGCACAGGAGGCCTCTTTTATTAAACAGGTTTAACCCGTTTTGTGATTACAGTACACAGTCTGAGAGCTACACTGTGGCATAAACCACGGCTGGCAGAGGGGCAGTTCTGTGGGGAAGATTCCTTGGAAGCAGTCCTGTTGATTTAGCCAGGATTTCTTTAGGAAAATGTACAGCAATCTAGGATGCAGCGTGTGCTGTCCCCTTGTCACATGCAGCCACCTAGCAGAGCCCCTTCCCTTTGCATACTCATGCAGTCCTTGCATACCTTACGGATGAGGGAGTGAGGAAGGATCCTTCAGGTCTGCAGTATTAAAGTCCTTTACCTAAATTCAAGGTCTGTACAAGGAAAAATCCCAGAGTTTCCATTACAAGGAGACCTTTGCAGATCTCTACTCTAGAAAAAGAGCTCTTAAAGTATAATGGCATCATGCGACTCCTAGCTCAACTATGGCTTGAATGGGATTGATAATCTTTTGGCTCTAGACCTCCCCAGCCATTTGTACTGAGAGAGAAGGATTAGAGACACTGGTGACTAGGCCTCTGGTTGCCTAATAAAGGTTTGCTGACCTTTTTTCTCATTGCTTTGTCTTGTCAGTTTAAGCTATATGAACCTAATAAATATAGGTATAAACATTTCTGCTATCTATTCCTAGTTTTCCACTGGATAGGTCAAAAATGATCATTTCAATAAAGTCTTTTATTATTTGCATAACTCAGAAGTCACATGTTAAGGATTTTGAGCTAGGAGATTGAATTTCCCGGCAAGCAGGAAGAATAAAAAGAAAAGTCCCTCTACCTGCTAGTCTTCTGAAGCCCTTTTTCTACCATTGAAATAGTGCAGATATCTTTTTTTGAAAGTGCAAGACATGTAGTCTCCAGTCAAATGCTCTCTCTTTAGTACAATGAAGTAGTGCAATATTAAAGAAAATCATTTTCTTCCTTGATTTGAAAGAGAGAAAAGCAGGACAGTTTTTTTTTTTAATGACAAGACAGCACAGCATACTAATCTCTACCTTGAAACCCAAAACCAGATTTAAATGCTAGGTTCAATAATTGTGTTGATTGTGTTTATCACCCTGTGGGGCATTTCATGATTGGCCTTTTGGGAACTACAACGTTAATCCAATGCGTTAAGCATTAACTGAAACAGACCTATCACTTTTAACCCTCCAAATAGTGTGGCACTCTGAAGCACCCTGTTTTTGTCTTTGATTTTAGGTTTTGCCAGTGTTTCGTTCATAAAGAGCTGCCTCTTCTGCTTTGTTTTTGCTTTTAGCCCTAACAGCTACTGTGGTCCAATTCCCCCTCCATCTCAGATCTGAACTCCTTTCCCTGTGTGGTCTCTAATCTCCTGTTTTTTAAAAGCCTAGGACATAGCCTGCCCAGGTTGAAGCTAGACACGTGGTATTTTCTTCTCCTGGTTTCTCACCTTGTGGTCTCAAAAAAGCAGAAAAATCAGCAGAAGGTCACACTGCAGATCCCTCTGCTCACATGCTGTCACAGTCCTCTCACTCCCCTTCATGCTGGCAGCATGTTTGTGCAGGGGATGGCTCAGAAACAGCTTGTAAGCATGACAACAAGAGTGCTGTATGCAGTAGCAACACTTCTTTTGAAAAGAGAAAAAGAGGTGACGATAAAGATTAAAAAAACAAACAGGAATTGCACAAAAATAGTTGTCTGTCCTGGCATCTAATCAACTTAGGTGCTGAAAACATGTGGGGGAAGGAAGATGGATAGTGGAGGAAAAAAACCCAAAAATGTGGGTATGGTTTTTTCCCCAGTGTGTGCCCTGCTACTGAAAAGTCCCCGTCCCAACCCACCCCTGCCCCATTGGCTATACCACGTGGACAGAACTTGTGGTCGCTCATGGTAGCATGGTCTCACAGTGCTTCTGGGACTCAGACTGGTGAGAGGTTCATCATGTGCAGAGAAAGGAGAGCAAAGCTAACTTGAGGGATTCTGCTGCCCCAGACAGGCTGGTAATTATGCACCTCTCTAAGAGATCTCTCTCAAGGGCCGATGTGATTTCAGATCATCAGCACACTTTAGCAGAAAGTTCACATTCTTTAAATTTTCATGATAAGAGTCTACAATTCTGTTTAAATTCCACTTATCTTTGCTCCCTTTAGTCTCTCAGAAACTGCCAGATCCATTACTTCCAGAATCCCATTGAGCTCCTTTGCTAAATTGTTCCAGATTCTGTAAAATATTAAGTATTGCTCAGTAGGTAGATGTTTTTTTTCCGCGACGTGAAGAAACGAGTCTTGGCTAGCAGATGCTTGAGATCACAGGACGTAGTCTTTAACTACTATAGGAGCTGGGAGAGCAAATGAAGGCTCAAGATTTCATCTGTAACTGTTGTCTAATTCAAGGTAGTCTGTTCTTTAATTCCCTGAGGAGCTTTGATACTAGAAAAATCAACTTTGATTACGTTCTGTTCAAACAATTGTTTAAAAAGGAACAAACACGATCGTTATATGCATATTGAGTTCACTTGTCATTTGAGATTATGAGCATTTGGGGACAACTCAGCATTTCAAATTGTGTATTAAGGGGAAATTCCATTTACAGGTAAATGCAGCAGTTGTCGTCTCAGTAACATCCTGTCATCCTTCTGTGTATTGTGATCCCATTGAAATACTCTGGAAGGAATTGTGTGTAGAGACAGAGACTGGAGAATTGCCTCTCCAGTTTTGACTTCTTTCACTTCTTTTTCTGGAGATTTCTTATTATTGACCATGTTTTGAAGGCTGTTCTTCAAATGTAGTATCACATCACTAAGGCAGAGCCTTTGGAACTTTCTAATAAAGGGAGCACTTTTGTTAGTGGTTTTAAAAGAGTTTTGCAAATGGAACTGGAGAACTAATTCAGAATGCTGGCTAGGCAGCAGAGAGAGGATGCAGGCAGTTGCTTTGAAGCTTTCGCTCACTGTCAGAGTATTTCACTTTTGATTTGCAGATCTCTTGCTATCCCTGTGTTTTTCTCTCTTGATCAGCGAGTGTCTATCATGCTAAAATATGCAACAATTTAGTAATATGAATAAAAAGACTGGTAGGAAGTAGGCTAAAACCAGTACACTGATCAGGTGGAAAAAACCTGTGGCTCAGATCATCGTTTTACATACTCCTCCCCCCCACCCCCCAAACTGTGTGCCACATTGCACCTGTAAAAGCAAACAGTTTGCAAACCATTTCAAATCATAAGCTCAATTGGACAGCTTTACATACAGCTGAGCTCAGGAGATGAGTTCCCATTCTGAAAATGCCTGCAGGAGGGCATCAGGCACATTAAGCTCACCTGGCTTCATGAAACATGAACTGCTGCTGGCATGTGGTGCTTGGAGCAATATTTTTAAATGACTGCCATCGCGCTGTTTACAGCCCTGATACAATTTTAGAAGTGGCTGTAAAATATACAGGCTGTCCCATTTTACTTAACTTGAGCTGTGCAAGAAGAGACAGAAAAGCACGCTTCCACATTAAAAACCACCAGCAGTTCAAGCCAAGGAGGCTTGTGAAAAGGAAAAAAAGATGATGGACAAGAAAGAGAGAAAAAGATCGCTGTTGGATTATTACTATATACAGAGCGGGATTCTCCATAGCACAGGAAGAGAGCCATCTTAGAACAGCCAGCTCAGACATGTCAGTTCAGTCTTGCTCAAATTGTCAAGACAAAGGGAAGGAGGAACCATTTTACCTGTATGCATGCAGATAAATGCAGAAGCAGAACAAAACTCAAGATTAGGGATATATAAACTACATGCTTGGGACATCAAAAAAAAAGATTTGGGGCAAATTCTGTTCTTATGTTAATGTAGTGCAGCCCCATGGCCAATAGCAGGGTTGGACCACTATAACATGCCAACAGAATTTGTTTGTAAGATTTCCAGAAGTGACTTCGGCCCCTTCCACCTTCTTCAGAACCTCTCTCCACAATCCTCGTATGCTTCTTGGAGAACTGTTCCTCAAAAACAAAGGCTGAGTTCATCTTTGGTTTCATTTGGCCCAAAATATTCAGAAGTCCCAAAGATAACACTGCAAGTATAAATCACATCCTCAAAGAGACTAGACAGTCCAACTGAACACATAGTCCAGGCTCTGTGATTACTATATGATCTGACTAAAGGCTTCAAGATAACTGGCTTTAATGTGGAAAAGGTGTCCTAGGTAGATGAAATATGCCTGTCCAAGTCTGTCACTACAACATAGATCAGTCTATTCTTTATCCTTAGGGACCGGTGTGTAACTACCAGCGCCTGCCCACCCAGGGAATCACTTCGCTTCAGTCGCGGCCGACAGACCAATTCCAGCTGATTAACTTTCACATTTTTCTATTGAACCTCAGTGAGAAAACCTGCTCTTTAGTTAATGCTTCTCAGAACTCTCCAAAACATCCTAATATTCCTGAATCATTGTTTTCCTCCACTTTATTTTAAGAGGCCAGGTTTCCTTACATCACACAGCATAACCTTTCACTTTTCCAGCGCTATAGTTTTCTTCTCATATTCCAAGGCTTGCAAGCTTAGATGTGTGGCGTTTTAGTCCATCCTTCGCTAACTGACTGATTTTTTTTTGAACACTTGGAACAAGGCTTTATAGATTTACCTCAGCAGGTGGACCAAATACCAGCAGGCCTCTGATCTGTAACAGTTTTGATTAAAAGCATTACATTGCATTTGATTAAGTGGAATTAAATCTAATTAACAAGATTTTATTTCAAGTACGTCACTGTTTCTTGCACCCAAATTTGCCTTAACGGGTAAGTGGGATTTTCTTGACAGTCACTGATATTATTAATTTGAGTAACCTTTGATGCTTCTTTGTCGGGTAAAACAGCACCCTTGCTCTGGAACGCTAGAGAAGCCAAATCAAGGTCCTGTGCGACATTCGGACGTGGGGAGCTCAGGATGTCTCAGCGTTTCTGGTGGGATCCCTCTACTGAATTCCCTGCATCCACTAGGGATGTGCATACCACCCACTACAGAACCTGGACAGGGCCCTATTCCGTGCCCGCTTACAGCGCTAGACCACTGCATGTGCTCAGGGGTATTAGTGACAGCATTTTGCCTGCATCTTATACAGATACACAAGGAATGAGATGTAGAAGGCCCCTTCCCTTTACCTTGGACTCTGCTGTGCCACAGTCTCCAGTGGTTCCTCCAGAGAAACACCAACTAGAGAAAATACCTTCAATGGGAATTTGTTCTTTATGATATTAGCTGTAATAATGGCTAAATAACCCATATCCTCCAGTAAGTTCCCCACACAATAATGGACTTCAGCTAGGAAGATGGCTTAGGAGTAAAGAAATCTAATAGAGGAGGACTCGGGGGTTTCTGCTTCGACATTGTGTTGTCACAAAGGCGTAACCCAGAAAGTAAGAGAGTCTGAAAAGAAGCAGCCTGATTCTTATTTATTCTAAAAACATCTAGGAAAGCCACAACACATATTATGTCTTTTAGTTAGTGAGTCACCATCCCTGCTAATAAAGCAATTGCACAGAAAAGTCTAGAAGAGGCATCTAAAAAAGATGCATCAACTGACAGTTGTTGGGAGCACTATTTTTCCAATTATGTTTGCTAATTTTTCTTCTGTATACCTGAGTGAGGAGCTGGGGGTGAGGGAAGGATGGGACATGGAAAGGAAGATTCACTGACATACAGTATATGGCAGTATGCTAGACTTTTGACACCTGTAGCCTTGAGTAGGGTACTGTTGTAATTTTCAACCATTAAATGTATTTAGAACTTTTTTTGTTTAGTGCCAAAGTATGTACCAGCAAGTTTAATATCAGGTTAAGCACTTTCTATGCTCTTTGTTCTTTAAAAATAATATATTTGTAAAATAGATAATGCATAACACTGGAAATGGGCACTTCTTCCCAAAAGTGCATGCGTTACAAAAATGGGGGGGAAGCCTTTTGTAGGTATTTCTGGCTGTTTAACGAGTCTGAAAATGGCAGATCAATAACACAGTTTAATTGTCTATCCTTTATAATTTTATTATAGGTCTGCATTTTAACTCTTATTTATTTGCCCATTTTAATATACATGAAAATAACACCTTTGGACTTAAGCTAACATTGTTTTTTAATTTTTTTTCTATTACAAAATGGGAGTTGACTGCTCTTGTAAACTGCAGGCTGGTTTTTAATAGTCTCCTATCTTTTCTGATGCACCAATTACCACTAATGAGTCTGCAGTTCTCTTTTTTACTGTATTCTTCCAATAAATGTAGAATATTTGTATCAGGTTGTGTGTGTGTCTCTCTCTCTCTCATTTGATATCTAAATGTTTATATTTCTTCTTTTGCTCTTTTAGATAAATATAAATGAAAATGAGGGAGGATTATCTCTAAAGGAATATCCATCATAGAGATAGTACAATGCATAATATCCACTTCAGTCATTAAGTTGATATGACTTCTGATGGCAACATCTGAGTTTGCTTCCCATAAATCCAATAACTACTACACTGCCTTGGACACTTCCTGTTAACAACCATGTTTCACATTTTACTGTGTGGCATCTAGGCATAATTTATTTTTTTTATTATGAGTACCTTGTATATTATAACACAGCAAAAACAGGCACAGAGTTAAGGTTTGGCTTTGAAGCTGAAATATTGCACCTGAATAAATTTGAGCAATTGTTAGAAGAGATATTTCTCTTAATTGATGTCCATTTTAATCATCTTTCAACAGATCAATAATCTTCCTAAAACAAGGATTTTTCCACTATTATTTACACAGATACCCAGCACCCATCCTCACCTCTAAAACAGCATGCCTGTAACCTCCTTCAAACTTGTTACCTCTACATTACACCAAAGTGAGATTTTTTTTTCACAAGAGTGGCCAAGCCAAAGGATGGTTACATTTGCTTTACACAGTTTATCATATTAAAGGTTTTTGCCTTCATGCATCTTCCTCCTTTTATTACAAAGTTACATCCATGTGATTTTGGAGTGTATCCATCTCTGGGCGGGAGAGCAGAAACCTGTCAGTTCACTGCACATGTGCAGGCAACAGGGAAAATGTGGTAAATGTACTAAAGTACTCCCCGATTTTTAAGGGAAGGGATATCAGATTTTTAATGCCCAGTAAATAGATAATAGTTCTGTGTTGGAAGTCCCCAACATGGTACATGCACACATACAGAATAAAGTGTTTGAACCCAGTAAAATAACTGAAGAGGGATGACTGAAGCAGAAGCCGCAAATGGGGGGTGTCTCAGTGAGATGAGACAGTGCCCTGGAAGAAAGGGGGCCCAGGTTCTGGACTGGGACCCTGTTCTCAATGGTGCAGAAACTATCCCAGTGTTATTTATCCATTTATACAATAACTACAAGTGCAAGATGCATGGGCTAGCTTCATGAGGTGGGGCTAGAAAATACTTTAGGCAATGCCTAGGCCATCACCTGGTCATTACAGCACTCTGCTGGGAATCAAGATAGCAGGTTCATACCCCTCCTGTCACAAGGGATCTAGCCATGCATATGCAGAAATTTTTGCAACACAGTTGCAAATAGAATCCAAACTCTGTATGAGTGCCAAAAAAGTGCCATTATGTGGTGATGTGAGCGTCATTTCAATGTGTGAAGGCGAAACTCTCCACAGCCCTAAGCTATTATGCATTAAAAGCTTGCTAAGTTTCATTTAAAGCACAGCTGTACACCTACTCAGTGGTCTGAGGCCATCTGGCCCCTTCCCACTGCATTGTGCCAGCATCCTTATACCATGCCATGTACCCTCTAGCCCCACCAGCACTGAACAATGGCAGGTGACTCTGCTGAACTGCACTGGGTCCCCAGTCCTCCCAGAGATGGAAACAGGAAACAGATGTTGGAGAAGGGAGGGGGAGCCTAGAGCCTCTGGTGGCATCAGCAGAAGGAATTGAGGGAGCAGCGCCTATTCTGGGAGCCCAGGGCTGTGAATTAACTTCTTAGGTGCTCTCAGCTGGACAGCCACAGTTTATAGTCTCTCACCTGAGAGCGCATGATGGGTGTTATACATCTTTCTAGCCTCTTGATGGTGCCTTCCTTTTCTGGGGTGCCTTGAAGACCCACATTCCCATTTCCAGGCTTCAGCTTCCTCCCTTTACAGCATGACCTAGTTCCCACGGATTTCATTTGCTTAGAAAAGCAACAAGGGCTGTCATTTTGCTCTTACACAGTCACCACCCTCTGTACAGGAGACTGTGGATCTTTTTTGAGCTTCAGAAAAGATTAGGCAGGAAATGGAGCTTCAGAACCCCTCCAGGAATGCTTTCTTCTACCTGTGTGCACCAATGCTAGGCCACTGGTTAAAAGCAGTGCAGGGGGTGGTCCTAAGTGTCTTGTGAATCTCAGCCTTAACCTCATAACACTGTGCTCCAAGGCTGCACCTCTGGCACTTGGCGTGCGTGACTTCCCCTTTCCAGACTTATTTATAGACATGGCTCTTTCAAGACCATCTATTGAAGCTATTCTATTTAGCATGGAATAAATTAAACAGCCATTGGACCAACAAAAGGGTGATAATGACTATAGCTGATAGATTGGGGCACTCTCCTGGGAGGGAAGAGTCTCTTCAGGTAGAACAAAGGACGTGTGGAGGAGCGATCTAATCGGTGGAATCTCAACTAAAACAGGAGCACCCCCACTGCCTACTGCTCGGCCATGCTTCGTGCAGAGCCCAATCTGATAAGTATTCCCAGAGCATGGCTACTGCACTGAGACCTGCAGGGAAGGGGGGCAGGGGACAGCCTACATTGTAAATCCCAAGAGGTGTTAACTACAAGAGAAGTATCAGGATGATCAGTGCTATCAAGACTGGGGATTCTTCCATGCATGCTGAGAAGCAGAATTTCAAGCATCTAGGGGCTTTTAATGTCAAAAACATAAGTGCTTACAAAGTTTAAGCACCCTCATGGTGAGGCAGCAGTGGAGTAGGGGTTTGGATGTAGCTACCCAAAATGTCCACCACGTATTTGGACACCTAAGACCTCCCTGTCCCCTTGCAAAACTGACTAACCCCAGTCTTCTCCCATCTGGTAGCTGTCATATTGAATGAAATAGTTTGAATGTTTGTAAAGGTTGCCCATTAGCCAGTTTCAGGAAGAAGATAGGATTTATCTCCTTATCTAAGTCATTGTTTTTGGGACTACGTGCAAAATGTCCTGACTTCGGTTAAAGTCTCAATTTAAATGTTATCTTTAGAAGTCTTTTACAAAGAGAGCAAAAATCCTGAATTCCGAGAGATCAAAGCCTAAGGCCTTTTAACCAAATTGGTAAGAAAAGGGCATTTGTAGTGATATGGAAGTCTCCCCAAGAGTAATTTAAAATGCTCAACAAAGGCAAAAGAATCTGTTGCGTAAGATCCGAGCCCAAATTTGGGAGTAATGACAAGTTGAGTAGGAGGAGCCCACTGATGGCAGCTCACTCAATAAAAACTGTAATTTACTGTTCCAATTTGGAGGTGACTTCACTTGCAGAACAACGAAGGAAGAATCGCAAGTGTAGGCCGGAACAGACTGATCACCTGATCCAACCTCTCCGTGAACACGAATTTCTTAGTTCACGTTGAAGCTGCAGAGCGCCTGAAAGGGACTGAAGGAAGGGGACTTAGTCCTATCACTGCTGAGCCCAGCTCATTGAACCGTATTGCTGAGGCCAGCCTATTGAATCGTATTGCTGAGGCGAGCCTATTGAACCGTACTACTGAGGCCAACCCATTAAATCGTACTACTGAGGAATGAAACCATATTTTGGTATTTGGCTTACTGGAATTCTAGGATTGTAAGTATATTATGAAAAATAACAGTATTGATTCAAATTTAACTTTTAGTTGTAATTGTAGTTGTTTTTGTAACACTAATTCTTATAGCATTGTTTGGGAAGGAAGTGCATTCGGAGCATTGTTTCTGATATATGCAATTATTGTGTTTTTAATGTTTGTGGTGTTTCTTAAAGCTAAGCAGTGTTATATACGTAGCAAAGAGTTTTAAAATAAAATTGTGTTGTATGAATTAAGTGTGTAATCATTGTGAAATCGTGCAATCAGCTAACTACTCCCCCAGCCAGTGCATCAAAACGAATCAGTAAATTGTGTGGGATTTTCTCTATTCCATAACCACCTAGAGACAGTAGCTAATTCTTCAGGAAAGCACTCAGGAATGAAAATACTTTGGGAACTG